GCAAATTGAACACTCGTTGTCAACTATCAATCAGATCTGGTCTATTTTTCGTGTTAAGATTAATAGTGTTGTCCTTCATTTTTGTTTTTGATCGATGTAAATTTGACGTAAGTGATGTTGCGAGTTGGTATTTGTTGAGTGTATTTAATAGTTGACCGGTGAATGTTTAGTAGGGTTGGTGGTAATTTGATCGTTTTTGATTCGATATGTTTATATGACTAAAGATGAATAGAGTGGTTTTTAGTGCTTCGAACGTTTCCATGGATTGTTTGTCGGTGAATGATATTGTTTTTTTACGTTGAGAGGAAGCGTTCGGGTGGATGGATTATATTTTGCGTGCAATTTTTGTTTATTCGGTTTTTAATTTGACTTACAAATCGTTTTGAGATGTCAGTATGTTTAGGTGGAATTATTAATGTGTTTGTTAGCCAAATGTAATCACAGTTGAATTGTTTACTGTTAATTTATCGTTTCACAATCAGCAGAGTTTATTTCATTTCATTCAGTCAGTCACATTCAATAATATGTGTTGTATGTATGTATGTGCAAATTGTTAAGTTGATTTCTAAAAATGAAGTAATGATAACGATTATAATAAATAATCTTCTGTCATAATGATGCCACTAGTCTAGCATCGTATCGATAACACCTCATCAATAATTTAAAAATGCAAATGTAGCAGTTTCTAGCAAGTGAAAAATTTTTCTCCGTGACGAAAATAGATGAAGAAATAATTTTGTATTCAAGTAATTTTTTTTTTAAAAATCACTTATTCGAATTCTTTTGATCAGATGTAAAATTTATATTTGATTAAAATTTCATGAGACTGATTCATCGTGAATTGAAAATGAGTTCGGTTCGAAGGTGACTAGGGGTTTTTCAAGATGCTAATAAGCAAAATCATTCATCAGTTGTGTTGCTCTCCGAAAAATTGTTTTCACTTGAAGTTGATCTGCTCTCCTGCAATAAAATTCCTCCTTTCACCATGAGCAAATGCTATACTGAAGGTGTTTCAAGCAAACTTGAGTTCATATATTCCAAGGAATAGTTATAGAGAAGTAGTCGCTCTGAAGCAGCGATGACGTGCGAGCGAAATTTCATGTCGTTCGGAATGCAATCAAATTGACACTATGAATTTTCGACAATTCCGATCGGAATTCCGACCAACCTTCCAAATTATTTCGTCGGAATCCGCAAGTCGGAATTCCGACCGAAATCGTCAGATTTCTCCGACCGATCATCGGTCGAATGCCATCGCTACTCTGAAGTTAAGTCGAGTCTCTTCAGTCGTTCAAACAAAGTAAAATCGATTACGAACAATACAAATACAGAACAAACAACGCTCACAACTATCACATAAGAAAATCAATATTACTGTATATTCATGAAGCGGTATCATCTGAGAGCATGAAAATGGAAGTGTACAGTAACGAAACGAGACGACAGTAACAACTAATGTACAGCAGCAGTTGTGGCCTTCTTTCCATACATGGCCTCTTCGATGGGTTGTTCGAGTACGATGATATTATGGGCTGGTATCGGAGAGTGCATGAAGTACGCATGATTCTTGTGAATATTCACTTGGTTCATGTTACGATACACCTACAGTTCCGCACTTTTTATTATAGACCATCACTGTTGATTTGCTCAAGTATTTATCACGGGACTGTTTCATAAATGAAGTTGAACTCTCCTATTGATCATGCTCAGTCGTATTTACTCGTATTAATCAACTTAATTTTAAATGTCACGGTTATAAAAACAAATCAAAAAAGAGATCATAACCGTAGATCAAATATCATAAGTGAAGTTGACCTCTGACTGAACTGAATACAAATTGAAGATGACTCAAGAACAGTTGATTCAGAGAATGTGATTAGCACATGAATGCTATTAAATGCTAACTTACTCGGAAGACTGAAATTGAAATCCATAGAAGCGTGATNAAACTTGTCGAATGATTTGCATCAACCATTTCAGTTCTCTAATTGTTTGATGGCAATTTCCTTTTGATTATTGAATGAAGAAATGTGGAAACGTCGACATTTCAATGACACAATTGCTATGCAAAAATTTGAAATTCATCAGCAAGAGACCTCCGTCTGATATCATAAAAACAATGGAATGTGCCCCCTTACACCTCAAACCCAACGGCTCGTTAAATCGTATTCTGAATTGCAACAAATCGCTCACTTGAATTGATGTCGCCTTCAGCGTTGCCTAACGCCGTAGACGGTGCACCGGGCACTACGATACTGTTCGTAGTAAGTTCACCACCCGTACCGTGAAGTTTATTCTGCACAATCAGAACAATATAGAAGATCACGTAACCCAAACATACGACTGAAACGATCGTCTGAAAAATATTCCTTCATTTGCAGCAAATTTGCAACTCACAATCGGAAATGTGAATAAATCTAAAGGATTTTGCCACTATGCTAATTTTGTTTCTGCTGAATGAATTCTCTGTGCACGTTATTATAATGGAAGTCAGTTCGATGATTTGATGATTTCTTCCATAAATTCAAAATAGAATTCAACTGATTGTTAGCAGTTAGGTTTACATGCGATTTTTCAACTGCAATGTGTCTCACGAATTGATCAGTATCGATCATACGAAGATTCGTCTGTCATGAAATCGTGTACAACTGTAAGTTCTAAATTCTCATGAACTGTACAATTAACTGATTGATTCCTTAACTTAATCAGAAACCACAATAACTCAGTACGAGCACCCAAACAATTCGTCATTTGTGAATTGCATATTTACAAAAACAAGTTCACGAATAAATTCAAATTCGCATTCCACTAAATGAAATATTCATAATCATAACAGTTGAGCTGACCGAATGGCATCCCACTCCTCATTATAAGCTTATCAACTTCTCTTGTGTGGTGGGTCGTTTCCCAGTTTCCATTTAGCTGCTAGGTGTGGATGAGGAAACCTGATCGGGTGTTTAGGTTTTTGACTAAACCATGAATAAAGTTAAGTGGATATCGAGTGCTTTTTAGGAAAGAAACATTCTTTCACGAATTTGAACAACAATTCTGATTGTATGGGTAGGTGTTTGTGAGAAGGTTCGAATAGGTAACGCATTTTTTTCAAAGAGTACGACCTATAGTAGAGATGTGAGCCTGTTATTGAAATGTTTCATTAGTGTTCATATTGTATAACGGACTTTTTCATGCGTCCCAATGTATCCTGAATTGGCCATCTTCATTTTCATGTATTTCTGAGGATAGGATCAAGAATGCTTCTGGGGAAGCAAGCAATAATATTCGTGATTTTTAATGGACATGTTACAGCTGCAATCGCAATGGCTGAAACAAATGAAAGAGGCGACGAAACGCTGGGAGAAGAAGCGATTCGAAACGAAAAAAATTCTGATCCACAAAAGCAGACGACGAATAGCATAAAGCCGGTGCGCCACTTTCATTGATGAAATCCTTGAAAATTTTCTTCAAAATAATAATTTGATCGTTACTTTAGAAGATTTGATCGAAATATACGGTCAACGCAATTTCAGCTCCTCATTGGTGAAACTGTATCTCTTCATTGGATTCAGCACAATTAAACTGTTTGAAAAGTTCATTTAACTTTGAATGCTATTCATGGATTTATTTGGTACCATACTGAAGGTTCGAGGTAAATCAGAGGTGGTGAAAGTAACTGAAGAGGA